CCGCCATTTTGAGCCTTCGGAAACGTTCGGAACAGCTTCTCATCAAGTTCACAATACTATTACAGGTAAGGCTGACGCATGCGCAGACGTTTTTCCGCGGTGTTTGTCACCACAGCATGCTTATTTTTCCGAACTTTTGCAAATTTGATAAGATTTTGTGTTTGCTAGATTTGGTTCAAGTTCGTCCAAGGAGAAAAGTAGGGAGAGACGGACTTGGGACATTTGCAGCATTTCGAATGTTACTTGCAAAAATTGGCGCGAAAATTTGTTGTTGTTGTCAACTCGCAAGTCACGCCTCCATAGGAAACATCCGACGGTAAATTTTGGCGCGCTTGCAAACGTCCCAAGTCCGACTCTCCCTATACTTTTCTCTCATATTTTCGCGCCTTTTTTCACCGCTCGTGCATGCGCATCGCTATTTTCAAGAGAGACGGACTTGAACCCATTCTACATATGTGTTTGCTTGAGTTAATGTATTTCGCTAGTGAGAAATGATATATGGTTGCACCGTTGTGATAGTAAACCTGTTGAAGCTGAGCAACGAAAATATTACATGGACAAATGCAATGAAAAACAACGACAAGTATATAATTAACTTTTTACTTGTTACGCTTTTCCTTTTCCTTTATGGAATGAATGATACTAATATAATTAATTGTCGCAAAATCAGTGGCTCGCAGATCAATTATTTGTCTCTGCATTCAGCATGGGCTAACAATCGATCTGCTCGTCACTGACAAATCCAGATATTTTGCTGAACCTCGTCCAGTTCTTGTGTATTACTTGCCACTAGATCATGCCACGTAAAACGAGAAACAATTATATGACGAAAGTGTTTGCTTTGCCTTCGGAAACTCCATTATTTTCCCTACAGATAGCCGAAGTAATAACTTGCCATTACTTCTAACGGCCTTAGTACGCATCTGATTGGTTGATCGGATATATCAAACGCATCTGATTGGCTATAGTGGTCCCTTAATGGTAGCGGTAGTGGAAGTCAAATCTGAACTTCACTATTGAAAGAGGACAGCCGAATTGAATGCGCTAATTACCTTCCTCCTCACTGCTTGTATCAGAGAAATTCTTAACTCGCTTTCTCTTTTTCCGCTGTGTTTTTGTTTTCCCTTTAGACTCTAAACAAACGAAATGTTGCAGCTTCATGATTAAGTATATTAAAGGGGAACACTATAATACACGATATTGTAAATACCGTTGCATGTGACACATTAATAAGAGGTGTATATATATGATACATTTATATATCTATATACCTTCACTTTCTTCTTTCGATGAAGTTTTTCTTTTTTTACTGGAAAACATGAATAGTGTATTGAAATTTGTGAGAGTCAGAATGCTTGTTACAGTATTAAATTACGGTTGCACGCATGCATGTCTTATATATACATGAACTTAATATTGTACAGGACAAAATAGGGGCTGATTACCAGATGAATTGTTAACACGCTGAAACTTCAGTCCAGCTGATTAAGGTGTGGCATGGATTTTAATAAAAACACCGTATAGAAACTTGAATAGACAAATTTAGCTTGCACGACAATTAAATGTGAAGTGACTATTGTAGCACACGTTTCATAACAGATTCTTTGTTCGCTACTAGCTTAATGCCATTTCAAGCACCTTAAGCTAACAGCATCAGCTGAGAATGTCGTGATTTCTTACGTTTTTTACAAACAAAATCATACACCTAGCACTAGCTCTGTGGTAAGCGCGTGTTTCATTTTCAAATCTTCTTACATCAACAACTGTGATGAAAACGTATTCTGTACCGAAAATTACCCATGTATGTAATCAGCTGTTTAATATAAATAAAAAATTATAATTGTAAATAAAGTACAGTATCTTATTGTACCTTTTTGTTTCTTTCCTTTCTTCCTTTTCATTTTTCTGTGAAATAACGGATAAGCCGTTGTGTGTAAAATTTTAACATTAATTTACTATCCAGGGTCTGGTTGTTCTAAAGCTGGTTAGCTAACCCTAGGTTAAGCTAAAATTCACAGCACACTTCCCAACAGCTTGTTTATGAATAAGTTCTTTGTATGTTTGCATAGCGATAAAATATAACAGTTTTGTTTGTGGAAACACCACGTAAATTTATTATTGCAAAGCTTTCGATCCGTAAGCCCGGATCTTCAGCAGTGCTAATAATATGCATATTATTAGCACTGATGAAGATCCAGGCTTACGGATCGAAAGCTTTGCAGTAATAAATTTACGTGGTGTGTCCACAAACAAAACTATTATAGCTTGTTTATGAACTTGGAAATATTTCTTCAGAAATCTTGTGTGGATCAATACGAGTTTTCTTTTCTGAAGTTTTGAATAAACAGACGTGCAAAGATACACAAACTAAAACAGCAGGTTAACTTTTAATCCAGAGTTAGCGCTAATCCAGCTTTGAACAACCGGCCCCAGGGTAATAGCTTATATAGGTCTTGTATAACAGCAACACTTACATTTTGTTTTTGTGTTTTTCGTGATTTCTTTTCGCCTGTTAATAATTGTTCAACAAATTCGTTAAAAGAAACATTAATATCACGTATGAAATCATATATTTACTTTCTCACATTCATGCATGATTTGAAAGGATGTCATGGTTACGTGATAGACGTAATAAGTAAAAATTCTGTCATTTAAATATAAGTAATATAAGCATGAACACTGACAGATAAAATGATTGGCTACTGATTCTCATGTTAAAATTAGGTCAAAATACAAGAAAACCACTTCGGCTTCTGTAAGTTGTTCTGATTATATTAAATGTTCTCTTTTCGTCCCAGAGAGCAAAATATTGTTTCCACCCCTGGTCAAAATACAAGAACCTTCCCATTTCAGCGGTTCGACTTGTGTAAGTTGTTCTGATTATACTGTAGTGGTTATACATAATTATGGTGTCGAGAAAGTTTAAATTCATCAACTTTTAATTATGTGTTAACATGCAGTCATCTAACGAAAAATGCATTCTTTGTCACAAATTATCCTATAAAAACATAAAATTTTATCGCCCAATTTGCTCATAATCTGCTATAATCGCTGCCGACGCCGACGGTAAAACAGAGTGGTAAAGTATATATAGGAAAATCAGAACAAATTAATACAGAAGGGGGAGTGGGAAGGTTCTTGTATTTGGACTAAGTGACTGACAATCGAACTGTTAAATATTCTTGAAAGAATGAACATTTCACAGCGCAGGTCAGGTTCTTATTTGCGACTGCTCGACACAAAAGACATGTCATACACTGCGGATATAGTCTCCAGTGTTCCTGAGATGTTGACAGCGTTCCTTCTACTGTAATATAGAAATAACGAATTACCTACATGTATTAGCCACAGATTACCTTGCTTTGGGCTTGACTTTTTGGTTGAAAAGTCTTCGTCTGTCTGGTCAACAATTTTCTGTTCATCTTCCTTTTCATTTGTTTCAACATCTTTCTCTTTAACATTTTTTACACTCTCATTCTCATCCTTTAACGACCTTTTCTCATTCTAGGAGACAAAACTTGAATACAATTTACAATTTATCAACTTGCCTTCATAATTATATACGTTATAAAATGCAGCAGTAGCTATGATTGTCTCAAATATACACTGCCACGAAAATTATATCATCTTTAAATTCAAGCCTGCATTCCCTAAATGTTGTTTCGGGGCTGTCATAATTATGTACATTCATGGCCCACGGTTTAGCGAAGTCTCGAATGTGGACCTACAGTATTTGTTTCATGAATTTTATGCTATATTAGTATTGCCGTCAGGAACACACGATAATTAAATGTTAAAGAACCCGTTTTTTTGGAATTATGACAAGAAAATGATGACATAATCGCCAAGAAATTTGTTTTGAAGTTAGATATACTGCTTGCTTCCGTGTTAATCATTGTGAGCCTGTTAGTGTAGGATAATTATCTCTGTCGATTTGTTTGTGCGATTTTTATTATTTACTCGTTGTAAAGGATTGCTATTTATGGCTCACTCGTATGTACAGTGTAGTGCTCCACTCATTCGTTTAAAGCGATCCCTCACAACTCGTGAATAAAAATCGTACGTTTTCACCAACATATCATGAAGTAATCTAAATTTATCTAATACATTTAGATCGTTCTTGTCGAGAACAACATTGAGATTTACCTTCACATTTTTATTAGAAGACGTACTATCAGATCTAAAAAATAAAGATTTAAAAAACATATTTCGTGTATCGAGATGATTTGACTGCGGGCAAAGAGCCTGCACGGTGTCTTATTTCTTGTCTCTTCTGTCGCCTTTATGAATTATGAAACTATAGTTGAAACTTGGTACTAGATACATTTAGTAATGAAACGCACAAGATCATGACAAATTTGGTAACTTAGTTTTAATCAGATAATGGTTTCTAATGGACAACTAGGGCGCTTTCCATTTAATGGCCTGACCGGTCAGACCCGAATTCTTTTCTCTGTATCAATAGAAAGATCTGGTCTACAGTATGTTTCTCAAATATCCAGCGAAAATGGACCTCATTCTAATGTTATCTAAATTTTCCAGTCAGATAGGTCCGAAGCCCAAATGTTTTGTGTTTCATTCAACAACTTGACCGGTCTGACCGGTCTGGCCGTGTTAAAGGAACGCGCCCCTAGTCCAGCTCTCTTCCAGATTTCCAGATTAACAAAGATCACATGCATGGATTAGACACAAGCGTTGAGTGCGACGGAGGAGCAAAGCAAGCTCTCTTCAGGCTACATTGCAAAAAACGCCCAGATTAACCCTTTAAGTGGCAACGCGCCCAGATGCGTCCTACTTTATTATTTTACTCTGTCTAATGCCAGACAATTTTACTCGTCAGGAGAGTGCTGCCACTCAATGGGTTAATTAACAATCACATACTTGTTTTGTTCTTTTTCCAACGCATTTTTCGATTGTATCTCTTTCTTTTCTTGTTCTTCTTTTTCACCCTTAACATTGACCGATTTAACGGTTTCTAAAAAAGAAAAGGTCGATCGTCAAGCAAAGCATACGTTAGAGGATTAAACCTAATTTACTATTGAGTTAACGAAGGTGTATTCTAAATTACAATTCCATTGTACATTTCAATTCAATTTTTCAACAACAGCAAAACACTTTGGACAAATTCGTGTACGTCTACAAGATAATCGACGCCCCCGTTCAATGTTGTCTTCAAGCTTGTGCACAATGTTTAGTGCGACGAATACGATATTACACACTAGAATTACTGTATGACACTATATTGAAGACGTTATACGCTAAGTGATCAATGTGAAAGACGTTGATTGCACATATAAGGCCTAAAAAACATAAACCTGTGGTTCCGGTTCCCGACCGACCCTATCTTTCTCTGCCGACCCTATTATTTTTTCAACGCAATTGACCATGCGACCCTATTTTCTCCGGGTGGTTGCGGGCTGCTCATACAGCGTGCCAAAATGGCGTCTGTTGTCACACTAATTATTGAACCAAATTTCCCAAATTTGTCATACTGTTTTTCCAAATTGACTTTTCTGTAACAGCTGGAAAAAGTCAAGCGAAGACAGATAAAAATTCCTTTCACACCTTTACTTTTACTTGCTGCTTGTCTTGCAAAAAACGATGCTACGTCGCCTTTCTTCATCGAAGACTTCGACTGTGAAAGAAAGGAAGTATACTATTACAGAAATACAGTCTATCACATACAAATGAAATCATTTAATGCGTACTTTGGAGTTCTTTCCTGACGTGGACGGAGTAGAGGAAGGTTGAACTTGATAAAAAAGAAAGATATAAATGCCAAAAATTTATTCTAAATTGAACGGCAGGTTAGGGCCACAAAGGATCCTTTGGGACTGAGGAAACATTTTCCGCGGGGGTAGTTATGACGCCATATTTTTCAAACAGCAGAAACAGTGTTGGATTTTAGAGCACCTTCTATTGGGGCCCCAAATGTGAAAGGTGGCTAACGCTCCAACTTCATTCATTGGGGGACACTCTGCCGTCCCTCTGGACGGCCCTGCAATCAGAAGTACCAATTGATAAGTGAAAATATAGGAAAGGACATTTTTGGATAACTTTACGTCCAGTATATTCTATACCTTGTACTTTATTCTGAGCTGGTTTTTGAAAACCATTTGAGATTGGCTTTTTTGTTTCCTCGTTTCTACTTTCATTTTCAGCAACCGTTTCTTCAGGAATCTCTGTATTTCTCTTTGTTATGGACTTGAATGTAATATTACTCCACCTAAGAAAAATGTGAAAATTCAATAATTAAAAGCTACTGACAAATTGACTTGTAATTAATAGGGAAAATCCTGAACGGAGTTAATTTGCCAATTTGGGCACAATCGCTTACATTAGCTATATTACATTATTATTTCAGCCCACTCCCCATTGGGGCTTTTCATTGACCAATTAATTACATCAAGTATTACGCTTAGGCTACTACTTATTTTACTCACTTAGCCTAAACTATTTTATCTTTACAACAATTGTGATTACTTTCTTATAACTGTGTTTATCCTAACCCACCCTGTCAACTTTCCCTGTGGGAGGAAACCGGAGCGCCCGGAGAAAACCCACGACTTTCGGCAGAGCGTTGACAGACTCTTTTCACATGAGTCCGTAGCGAGAATCGAACCCACGATCTCAGAGGTGAAAGGCTCTTGCTCTGACGACTGCGCCACCAAAGGGTACACCGTACACCATCATGCCAATCCACGTTTTTTAACCATCTGCTAAGACCAGATGTAGTCAGTCAATAAAGGTGGAGTGACACGAACAACAAAAGTGCTGCAACTTGCAACAAAATCTGATTTTAACGTATGTTAATTGAAAATGTTTACACATAAATTACAAATCACAAGGCAACATGTATCGACATTTCTACTTAACATGCGTTGAACTTTACAACTTTAATTAGGAATAATAAAGCTAGGTATTTTGAAAAAGTTAACAATCAATTGGATGATCCTTTGACAGGCACCAAAAAATGGTGGACTGTAGTTAAGACCTTATATGGTGGAAAGGTGCAAGTAGCAGTTCCCACTCTTATAGACGGTTTAAGAGAGGTCACCGATCCGAAGGCAAAAGCTGAAATTTTAAACGATTATTTCTGTTCTCAGTGCAATGTAGATGACCAAAATACAGTTGTTCCAAACGATATTATTTACTTCCAAACCTGTGCGGAACTATCTTACATTCAAACAACAGAAAGAGAAGTTTACGACCTTCTTGTCGCACTTGATATTTCAAAGGCCTGTGGTCCAGATGGTATTAGTAATAAAATCATTAAATTATGTGCGGGTGGGCTTTACGGACCCCTGACAACATTAATTAATGCATCTTTGGATGCTGGAGTCTTTCCGGAAGAGTGGAAAATTGCAAATGTGGTGCCACTGTTTAAAAAAGATGATCTCCAGTCAAAGCTAAACTATCGTCCAATTTCTCTTTTGAACTCTCTTTCTAAAATCATGGAAAAAATAGTTTATAAAAATCTTTACAATTTTCTCTTAGCTATTGGTTATCTCAATGATCTCCAGTCAGGGTTTCGCCCAGGTGATTCTACGGTTAACCAGTTAACTTATTTAGTTCATAAAATTTATCTTGCCCTTGAAAATGGACATGAGGTCCGTATGGTCTTTTTGGACATAAGCAAGGCTTTTGATAAAGTTTGGCATAAAGGCCTTTTATATAAATTGAAATGTTTAGGAATAAAAGGGTCTTTGCTATCATGGTTTCACAGCTATCTTTCTGGTAGAAAACAGAGAGTAGTTATTGAAGGGCAATCGTCTGGCTGGGGTGATCTTGAGGCAGGGGTACCACAAGGTTCTGTTCTTGGACCCTTACTTTTCTTAATTTATATTAATGATATCACTGAAAATATTCAGTCTGAGGGTTTGTTATTTGCAGATGACACTTCTCTATGTGAAGTTGTCGAGACCCCAGAAATAACTTCAGTTAAATTAAATAGCGATTTAGACAGCATTAGTATTTAGGCAGATAAATGGTTAATGAATATCAATTCTACCAAAACAAAAAGCATAACATTTTCGGCAAAGCGAGACAACTTGCAACATCCTGACTTATTTTATCGTAACAATATTATTGAGCAAGTTAGTTCCCATACCCATTTAGGTGTAACCCTGACGTCAAATCTCTCTTGGAGACCACATATTTTAAATATCTATCAGAAAGCTAGCAAGAGAGTAAACTTATTGAAGGGGATCAGATTTAAGGTTCACAGGTCAACATTATTCAAGCTTTACAAATCTATGATTAGACCTACTATGGAGTATGCGGATATTGTGTGGGATGCATGCTCTGATGCAGAAGCAGAGCTCGTCGAACTTGTTCAGTATGAAGCGAGTAAGGTGGTGACTGGCGCATTCAAAGGGTCAAGTAGAGTGCGCCTTCGTAATGAATTGGGATTGGAAGAAATGAAAACTCGGCGATTAATTCGTAAACTGACAATGTATTATAAAATAGTTAATAATTTTACTCCAGCCTATCTTAAAAATGTGTTATCTCCGAGAGTATGCGAAAGAACAAGCCATAATTTAAGAAATTCACAAAACTTTTCTTTATTCTCAACCCGTACCGAACGTTTTAAAAAATCTTTTTTCCCATCTACCACTAGACTTTGGAATGATCTTGATCATTCCATTAGAACAGCACAAGGTGTAGGCACTTTTAAAAATGAATTGAAAAAATACTTTAACTTACAACAACATCCTAAGTACTTCGATTATTCGTTGGACAGATTTACATCAATATTACACCCCCGTATTCGTTTAGGTGCTTCGGCACTTAATACTTACCTGAACAAAATTGGGGTAAAATTTTCTCCAGCATGTTCTTGCGGTCACGTGAACGAAGATGCGATTCATTTCTTCCTCCATTGCATTAAGTATGATTTTTATAGAAACAATCTTTTGGCCTCTGTTGCTCAACTATTTCCGAGTAGATGGTGCCTTCTCTCAGACAATCAAAAAGTTGATTTGTTCCTATTTGGTTCAGATGTGTTAACTGAAGATGAAAACTGTTTTATATTTTACAATGTTCAACTTTTTATTCGAAACACAAGAAGATTTAATCTGGGTTGAGAAGGCTACCACCTTATCTTACTTTACTTTAATATATGTGACGTTTGTAAAATATGTGTGAAAATTATTTTGTAAAAATGTAATGTGCGTGAGCTCTCTTGATGAGCATTAATGCTCTTAGAGCAAACGCAAAAATAATTTAAATATATTGTTTATACAAAAAAAAAAAATCAGATTTTGTTGCAAGTTGTAGCAATTTTGCTGCTCGTGTAACTCGAGCTTAACGCCCGCGTATTCTAAAAGCTCGCTCACACTCAATGAGTGGAGGTTGAATCAGCTTCTCTCGAGTGTCAATGCTGTTTTTGAATAGCTGGAGGGTGAGTAGTCACATATTAAGGTACGATACTAACCCTCCAGCTATTCAAAAACTGCACTGGCACCTAAGAGAAGCTCAGATCGAAACTCCACTCATTGAGTGTGAGTGAGCTTTTAGAATACGGGCGTATAAGAGACAGATCAATTTGTTTTTTAGGCGTTTATTGGAATTTCCAAGGAAAAAATCGTTTCGAATAGCTCTATGCCTAAAGTATCGTATTTTGAGTTTAATGTTTACAGGAGGTAATCTAAAGCTCTGCAATATTGCAGAAACATAATCATGTCTTTTCAGAAGAAAACTGTAATGTTTGTATGTACAATAATTTGCATGTGCAATACTATATTGCTTTACCTGTTAGGTGAGTCCAGGTTTTGCTTCTGTAAATCGTAGTCCGCCAAATATAATACATTAGAGTCCTAAAATACAGATAAAGTACATTGTCCACTATGTGAAGCCGTTGAAATGGTTTTTGCTTGTAACAATATGACATATGTTGTCTAATTTTTAACTTGACCCCGGTATCCTTTGTTTTCGGTGACGCGGCACTGTTCTTTACCATCGGATCATTCCATGCCAAATATACCATCAGAGGCTCGCAACACACCTCTCGGGATTGGGTTAATTTTTCAGCATTAACAGATATAAGTAAGAAATGACTGTATACAATGTTTGATATCATTATCTCAAACGATTATTGATCTACAGCTGATCAAAATTGCTGATCAAAATTGCTGATCAAAATTGCTGATCAAAATTTAGGGTGTTTGTCTACTCAAATCCACTTCTGGAATAGTAATTTAAATACAAAAATTCATAAATTCAGTATTGCTGCTGTTCTTCTACAATTTGGTCTCCGATCCGACGGAGTGGAAGTAATTCTGTTTTGAAGAAATAAGAATTGATTTATTATGTGAATATAGGGCAAGTTTTTGCTTTCAATGTTTAATATTTATCAATTTTCTTGCTTTAATTTTTTTCATAATACATGCACGCTTTATTCCTTTTCAATGTAGCAGTAAGTTTCTTAAATTACCCTTTTTAGTTTAAGGGGAAAAAAGCTTACTTTGGAAAAGTACGTTGTCATAGGTGAGTTATGTGCTTGATTTACACAGTACAACCACAGAATACTACACAAAAGTCCATCTGCATTGTTTTTAGCGTAAGCTCTATTCGTCATGATTCGTCACTCAGCAAGTACTGTAAACAGAAGCAGTCCCCCCCTGGAAATGCTAAAAATGGCACACGTCCAGGGGGGTGACTGCTTCTGTTTACGGCACTTGTTGAGTGACGAATCATGACGAATAACGCTTACGCAAAAAACAATGGAGATGGACTTCTGTGTAGTATTCTGTGGTACAACTCAAGTTCTATAAGCAGGTTGCATGGGACAGTTTTAGGCAAAAGTTGTGTAGTGTAAATCGGTCTTAACGATAATTATACTATACAATGATATAAGTTACAGTTTTACCTTTGGTTTCGTTTTTTGCACACTGTACACGTGTAAACTGGTAATTTGGTCATAACACTGTTTAATATCTGCAAATAAGAGAGGCAAAAGTAAACTATATATCAACCAATGTACATAATATTTACAAATTTTATATCTACATACTGTGTTATATTCCTGTACAAAACATGTATCATACCTTTCAGATCATCTTCGTGGG